AGTAAAATTCTATGTTGAAACTATTTTCCGTTTTTCTGAAAAACGGTAAGAGACCGTCAGGAAAAATGTTCAGATTCGTAATCTACGACCTCAAAATAGGGTGTATACCAATTTTGGTGAAAATCGGACGCGATTTCCAGTTTTCTCAATAATTACCTTTATTATGCCTGAATTATTATCAAACTGCATATAATTAGAGAAATAAAGTGATGGGAAGGGGGCGGGAATATTAAAATATTACATTACTCTTTGGCACGACCGATTTTAACAAATTTGGTGTTTTTTAAAAGGGCTTAATTTGTCCTTTAATATAATTATCTTTTTATTTGGTACTACTGATTTTTTTTATTTCCATTATTGACAGCAATATCTGAATATCTGTATAAATAGGTATCTGTTTCTATAATACTATTTGCAAAAAATGCAATGATGTAAACGTTTTTACATCATTTAAATGACCAATTGCATTATAACATAATTTAATACATTTTAGTTGACAAAAAGCACTTAGTTTTAACTTGCTTTCGTAGCCTGCTGTATTATCCGTTTTAAAGTATAACGACATTTTTTTTTGAAAAACTAGTCAAATAAAAACTTTTATTTTTAAACATAACATTTATTAACATTAGATTTACAAAATTTATAATTTTATTAACATTTACAAAATAATAATTTTATATAAAATATATAAATTTTGACTTTTTGTAGTAGGTACGTGTGTACTAATTGTAAAAATATTTTATGCAAACATAAATATTATTTTCTCTATTTGTAACTTGTAACTTATACGAAGTGATCAACAATTATTATTGAAATAGTTGACCGTTCTGATTTTACTCGCTTGGTTGGAAATAAATTTAAAAAGCATTTTTATTTTATCAAAGAGTATTCCTTAACGCGCTATGCAAGCCGACCCTGTATCAGGGTAGATTTCGCCGCTGGCTCTCGCCTGACACGTGCTGATCACGCACTGTGCATTTGTTTATACTGGTGCATTTTGAATTTGAATACAGTTTAGTTTCGTATACCCTCTCATATCTCCTATAGAAAAGGGTGTTTCCCTTTAAAAGCGTCCAATTTGACCCACCCTGTACAGGGTTATTCACCTTATTCGACATAGAGTACTGTAGCCAAATGATTAGATTTTTAGAAATTGTGTGTGATGAGATCGTTCGAGGACTACTAAAGCTACAACTTAAATACCAAAATATAATTAAAAAGTAGCAAAGTGTGCCAAATATATAAAAATATCAAAGTTCTATTTTTTTAAATGAAACATCTGTATATTATTACATTTTTATTTTCTATGATTAAAATAAAAGCATATTTGATTAAGGTTTACCGTACTTTAATCTTACCGTTTTTGAATAGTAGTTATTTACGATTTTGTGAAAACGCAGTAACAATTTAAATGCTTAATTTCTCTAGGAGTATTTAAGTTTTTAAAACCAAATATTGTACTAAAGTTTTTCTATTTACGAAATTTAATGTTGCAATAATAAAAATTGTACTACCTTATACAGAGTGTCTAAAAAATTATATTAAATAAGTACTAGCTTTAAACGGCAATAACTTGTTTAATTTAAATAGAACACCCTGTATTTTTACGTGAATCGGATGCACAATTTACTTGTCTATCAAATAGTATTGTACCATTTTTTTCTATCTCTTCAAGTTTTCTTATAATTTAGACCTCATTTATCAATATACCCATTGAATATTAATATTTTAAATTTTTTTAAGCAACAAATTTACAAAATGTACGATAATAAAATATGTAATATGTAATAATAAATGTAATGTACGATAATATGCTAGCCTATTTGTTTACAAAAAGGACCATTTAAATCTTTTTAAAAGAGTATACTAATTAAATATACCACCATTATTTCCAACCAAATATTAATTAATTTCATACTTTTGTGTTATACTTAATTTATTATTTTAAATAAATGTGGATTTGAATCAGAAATCAATATAATAAGAAGTTATGAATGCGAACGTCTCTGTTGTTACAAATAAGCATTCGTCAAAAAATGAAATAAAATTTATAAGGTGTTAGTTTTCACCACACTGTCTAATACACATATAAAATTCAGTTTTTTAGTGGAGCAATTATTTGGAGCAATTATTAATCATCGCATCGCAAACAGTCAATTAATGTAGCTCGACTAGTTCGAATACTGGGATCATATTAATTGGCCCTCTTTTACAAATATTTTAATAGTTTTTTTTTATTTTTTAATGAAATAAACGAACTATATCGACAATATAAGATCTGTACTCTTTGAAAATAATCTAAAATATCAATATTCCATGGATATATATGATAAATGAGGTCTAAATTATAAGAAAATGCATTTTCTACGAAAATTTGAAGATATAGTTGTGTACACTCTATATAAAGTACTACTCGTGTACTTGGCAAGTATTTTTTATTGGTTACAGGGTCTGGCGGGAGTGCCGGTGTAGCTTCTATAATATATAACTCAGAAATTCTGTATACAGGGTCCGGCAATAGTGCGTTGGGCATTTGTAGCTCCTAGAATAAAAAACGTGAGAATTTTGTTTAAGTGCAAATCTAAAGTATGTACCAGGATGTATTCCAGGAAAATATTTTAACTTCTATAGGGTGGCTCAAAAAAGTAAGTGGATCGAAATGATTTTTTTTAATTAAATGGAACACACTGTATATTATTGCATTTTCGACTTCTTGTCAGATCACTTTACATAATCCTAAGATATGAGTAAATGTATTTCAATAGTTTCAGAGATATTATTAATAAATATTATTAAAAGTAAAAAATATTATTTTTCAGCCTTTTTTTTATTTATTATTTTCGAGATGGAGAATTGATAGAACACAGAAAAAAATGAACACTTTATATTTTAAGTATTTCAAAATTTTTAACGGTTTCGCAGATATTCGCGCTTTTATATTTCATATATAGCATTTTCTACAGTAAATTTTATCAAAGCCACCCAATGATTTTTCTCTCGTATTTTACCGTTGAGAGAGCCATATGAAATAATACTGCGTGTATCTGCGAAACCATTAAAAATTTTGAAATACTTTAAATACAAAAAATGTTCATTTTTTAATTCTCCATCTATGATTTAAAATTACGATATTTATAACAAAGTTAAGTGTATACCATCTAATGTAAATAGCTAATATAGTTTTGATATCAGGACAGTTCTTGTATTTGTAATATTTTTTTTAATGAAAGTTGAACAATATAATTTTTTTTATTTATTTATTAATATCTCTGAAAGTATGGCAATATATTTATTCATGTATTGGATTATGTACAGGGTGGGTCAAATTCGACGCTTTTAAATGGAAACACCCTTTTCTATAGGAGATAGACGAAAACTAATATCGGTGTCTGGAGCTCAATTTTAATCAAAAACATGATGGTGAAAACCGCACATCAATATCTGTTACCGTTTCAGAGTTACGGGGTGTTTTTCAAAAATGAGCATTTTTAACAAATCGCTGTAACTTTTTTGCTATGGAAAATGTTGTATTTCTATGAAAACATTTCCAAAGCACCTTTTTACGTAGAATTTAATGGTTTAAGTATAATTTTTTTAAAATTAATTTAAGAGTTATCAAGAGAAAAATTGATTTTTTATTTGGGCCACCCTCTATATTTTTAATTAACTGAAAAGAATTTAAAATTACCTTTCCAAAAATATAGCACACTTGATATTTTGTTATAATCCTCTTCGAAATACAGAATTTTTAAAAGTTCGCCACTTTTAACTAGTAGGCTTTGGACCCCTTATTGATGATATGCCCTTAATGGAACTCGAAAACATATTTTTCCAGCAAGACGAAGCACCGCCTCTAAACTTTGAAGTTATCAGCAAATTTTTGCATCCAATTTCAAGAATAATTGAATAGCTAACAAAGATTCCAGCCGTTGGCCGTCGAGGCCGCCTGACTTAGTGCCCATGGATCTAATCCTATGGATATATTTGCGGAAAAATAAAGGTTCCTTATTCTTCCGTATCATCTAGTCAAGAATTAGAAATACTTAGCAGTTATGAGAGGGTATCTTTCACCCCCACTGAATTAATGAATTCCGCGAGAAATGTTCAAAAACTGCCCCGTCTGTCCATAATAGAAAACGGTCAATATGTCGAACACCTGTAGCAAAATCTCATGTCTTGGTTTCTTATTTATTTTTATTGTTATTAGATATAGTTTAAATGTGTGTTGATGTTGGTTAAATATATTTTAAATAGTTATAAAATTCTGCATCTCTCATAGCAAATATTATTTTCGTTTTAATTGATGCTCACAGCTAGATTTTTTTGCATTACAGCCGGTGCCGTTCAAAGCCTACTCATTTAAAGCGGGTGAATTTTTATATACTCTATATCTCGAAGAGGAATCGAGCAAAATATCAAGTATGTTATATTTTTGGAAATGTAATTTTAAATTCTTTGCAATAAATTAAAAATATACAGTGTGTCCCATATAAAAAATCAAATTTTCTGTTGATAATTCTTAAATTATTAATTTTAAAAAAATTATACTTAAACTATTAAATTCTACGTAAAAAGGTGCTTTGGAAATGTTTTCATAAAAATACAAAACTTTCCATAGCAAAAAAGTTACAGCGATTTGTTAAAAGTGCATATTTTTGAAAAACACCCCGTAACTCCGAAACGGTAACAGATATCGATATGCGGTTTTCACCATCATGTTTTTGACAAAAACTGAGCTCCAGACACCGATATTAGTTTTCGTCTATCTCCCATAGAAAAGGGTGCTTCCCTTTAAAAGCGTCGAATTTGACCCACCCTGTACAGTGAAAGGAAGCCAAAAATGCAATAATATACAGGGTGTTCCATTTAAAAAAAAATCATCCCGATCCACTCACACTTTTTTCAGCCACCCTATAGAAGTTAAAATATTTTCCTGAAATACATCCTTGTACATACTTTAGGTTTACACTTAAACAAAATTCCCAAGTTTTTTATTCTAGGAGCTACAGATGCCCGACGCACTATTGCCGGACCCTGTAGATACCCGACGCACCGTGTATACCCTGTTTACCAATTAAAAATGTTTGTCAAGTACACGAGACGTGAGAATGCGCCTTAAGGTAGTATTATTTTTATAATTGCAACACAAAATTTAGTAAATAGAAAAACTTCAGTACAAGGATTATTCTATTTTCACAAAATCGTAAATATTTCAAAAACTGTAAGATTAAAGTCCGGTAAACCTTAATCAAATTTGCCGATATTTTAATCGTAGAAACTAAAAATGTATATAGGGTGTTCCATTTAAAAAAAAACTTTGATTTTTTTATATATTTGGGAGACTCTGTACCTTTTAAAAATAATTTTAAGTTGTAGCTTTAGTAGTCCTCCAATCATCCAATAACTCACAATTTCTAAAAATCCAATCAGGTGGCTACCATACTCCATGTCGAATGAGATGAGTAATCCTGTATATTTTTAGTCAATCCGTAAATATTCCTCAATTTCTGCTAAAATAGCTCTAATGTACGAGTGTAGGTAATATTTCCGATACAAACATTTTTTTTTAATTTACTTTTATTTTTCTACATAATCTCTTTGTAAAGGAACACACTTCTCTCATTTCTACTCCCACCTGTTGTTTATAAAAGAGTACAATTTTTGTTTTTATAATTTCCCTCATTATAATTGGTTAGTTTTAATTACTTAGTCCAGTCAATTTAGACATTCGAAGGTACATAAATTCATAACAAGCTGAAAATTCGTGTAATTGTTTAAAACAGATCATTCCGGTGCCTGGGAAAAAATTATTCGAGGTCAAAGGTCAAAAATCTCGAAAAAAAATGTTTTTTGCGATTTTCAGCAAAAAGAGAAGTTTTATCATAAAATTACTTCAGACAAAAATTATAGACCATAAAATTGTCTATAAAAAAATGTATCAATACTTTTTTTCTTTAGAGCCACTGTTTCTGAGATATAACGAGTCAAAGAGTTGTAATCATCATAATATGCACACGTTTCCAGTAAGGATTAGAAATAATAAAAGCGATGGAAAGAAAAAAATTATAAATCTACTAGTCTGATTCATAACCTTCAAATACTTCTTCTTGTTGTTCTTCTTGATCTTCGTTTTGTTTGTTTTCTTCATCCTGGATGTAAGTAAATTGCGTCAATAGTGATGTATCGCATGTTTCTTCGTTGGTATCAAACGAATCCTCTACTATTGATGATTCAACATTAGAACATGACCGGCCTTGACAATTTGTATGTACAGCTGGTTCCAAAAAAAATGAATACGATTCTATACATTTTTTTCGAATATTTGGGCAGTGTATATTTATGTGTCAAGTATTTTGACATGTTAAGGTTATTGCGACACTATATAGTATAAAACAACTTTTCTTTTGACAAAGTGGCAAATAAATTTTTCAGAACGTCAGCATGACATGAGTAGAGAAATGGGGGACTGGTATCATAGAATATACTGCCCGAAATAATAAAAATATGTTTTAAATCGTATTCAATTTTATTGGAACCAGCTGTACAGGGTGGGTCAAATTAGACGCTTTTAAATGGAAACACCCTTTTCTATAGGAGATAGACGAAAACTAATATCGGTGTCTGGAGCTCAATTTTCATCAAAAACGTGATGGTGAAAACCGCACATCAATATCCGTTACCGTTTCGGAGTTACGGGGTGTTTTTCAAAAATGTGCATTTTTAACAAATCGCTGTAACTTTTTTACTATGGAAAATTTTGTATTTCTATGAAAACATTTCCAAAGCATCTTTTTACGTAGAATTCAATGGTTTAAGTATAATTTTTTTAAAATTAATAATTTAAGAGTTATCAACAAAAAAATTGATTTTTTATTTGGGACACCCTCTATATTTTTAATAAACTGAAAATAATTTAAAATTACCTTTCCAAAAATATAGCACACTTGATATTTAGTTATAATCTCCTTCGAAATACAGAATTTTTAAAAGTTCGCCACTTTTAACTGGTAGGCTTTGGACTTTGGACCTCTTATTGATGATATGCTCTTAATGGAACTCGAAAACATATTTTTCCAGCAAGACGACGCACCGCCTCTGAACGCTGAAGTTATCAGCAAATTTTTGCAGCCAATTTCAAGAATAATTGAATAGCTAACCAAGACCCCAGCCGTTGGCCGTCGAGGCCGCCTGACTTAGTGCCCATGGACCTAATCCCATGGATATATTTGCGGAAGAATAAAGGTTCCTTATTCTTCCGTATAATCTAGACAAGAATTAGAAATACTTAGCAGTTATGAGAGGGTATATTTGGGTATATTTCACATCTACTGAGTTAATGAATTCAGCGAGAAATGTTCAAAAACTGCCCCGTCTGTCCATAACAGAAAACGGTCGATATGTCGAACACCTGTAGCAAAATCTTATGTCTTGGTTTGCTATTTATTTTTATTGTTATTAGATATAGTTTAAATGTATTGATGTTGGTTAAATATATTTTAAATTGTTATAAAATTCTGCATCTCTCATAGCAAATATTATTTTCGTTTTAATTGATGCTCACAGCTAGAATTTTTTTGCATTACAGCCGGTGCCGTTCAAAGCCTACTTATTTAAAGCCGGCGAATTTTTATATACTCTATATCTCGAAGAGGAATCGAGCAAAATATCAAGTGTGTTATATTTTTGGAAAGGTAATTTTAAAGTATTTTCAATAAATTAAAAATATACAGGGTGTCCCATATAAAAAATCAAATTTTCTGTTGATAATCCTTAAATTATTAATTTTAAAAAAAATATACATAAACCATTAAATTCTACGTTAAAAGGTGCTTTGGAAATGTTTTCATAAAAATACAAAATTTTCCATAGCAAAAAAGTTACAGCGATTTGTTAAAAATGCATATTTTTGAAAAACACCCCGTAACTCCGAAACGGTAACAGATCGATATGCGGTTTTCACCATCATATTTTTGATAAAAATTGAGCTCCAGACACCGATATTAGTTTTTGTCTATCTCCTATAGAAAAGGGTGTTTCCATTTAAAAGCGTCGAATTTGACCCACCCTGTACATGCCAGAGAATAAAACTGTCCAACTTTTTTACAACTACATTTAGCACTGCATCCAAAGCTTTACAGTTGCAAAAAATTGTGTTTAGCAGTTTTTCCGGCGCAGTATACGGTAGTAGTAGTATGACGATTACAACTCTCTAACTCGTTATATCTCAGAAACAGTGGCTCTAAGGGAAAAAAGTGTTGATACATTTTTTATACAAAATTTTATGATCTATATTTTTTGTCTGAGGTAATTTCATGTATATTTATGAAACTTACCGTTTTGCTGAAAATCAAACTTTTTTTTATTTCGAGATTTTTGAGCTTTGACCTTGCATAATTTTTTTCCAGGCACCGCACAGTGGGGTATTTGACACCGATAGTTGATCGAAATTTTTTTTTATATAAATTATTGATATTTTCAATTAAAGAGGAAATAATATGAACAAAATAAAGGATAATTCGTCGATTCTAAAAAAAAGGAAGAAAAATCACTGTTCCAGTGTTTCCACGATCAATGCCACTAATGCCAGTAGTAATATCGCAACTAATACTACTAATGCTACGACTGATCCGCGACCAATGCCCATACCACTAAAGCCGCTACTAATTCCAAATTGTGCTATACTGCTAATGGCACTAAAGCGATCGCTTTGTACACAACAATGCCATCGCGGTTTACACCTCGCATTAGTATATCACTGATTTGAAAATTAGAGGAAACCAAGAATGTTTTTCTTATTTTACCAGCAAAGCCACAAAAAGTCGCAGTATTTTATTTTACTGTATGAAAGCCCATTGTTTACTAAGTAAAACGTATATAGACAATATGCTGAATTCTTCGAAATGCGCAACTAATCTCAAGTATAATAAAAATGTCTCAAATTTTCTGAACGCCTGGCCTAACTTTTAGTTGCAAAGAAAAATCGTTAATATAGAGAATATCAAAATAAATAATATGTTTTTGTAGAATACATACCTGCAGCTTGCTGAGCCATTTTCAATCAAAACAATAATATAAACGTAAAAGGAGCACAAGAACAACAACAATTTATAATTTTAAACATAAAATTTAGCCATTTACCTCTTATCTGTGAGAAGCTTTGAATAAGAAGGAAGGAGCATAATGCTATCCATGTATTCATGCATGGTGGGCGGAAAAAGCACTCTAGGGTGGGGATCCTTGACAGTTCTGTTTGACGATTCATTTGACACATTTGAATTTGATTTGAAATTTTGTGGATTTGTCAGTCTTTACGGAGCTTATTTTATGTTATTTATTATTTATTCTATTACTGATTGTTGTATAAAGGTAGTTAATCTAGATGGAAATTGTGGCAGAACATAAATTAACAGTGACACTATCGCGATTTATCGAAAAAGACTCTAAAATAGTTGGTTGTGTAACGTCCGGTAGATCTCGGCAAAAATTGAGTGAAATAATGGAACAACTTTTCGCTAGTAAGTGACTATATGATATACATACGTGTAGTAAACCGATCATTTGTGCAATTCAAATCTCAAAGATTAGATGTCAAAGAATTTAGATACGTTAATTTGACTTACCTGCTTCAGTAGCGTATCTGATGTTTATGTTAATAAATACTTATTATAACTTATCTATTTTTATTAGAATTATATATTTTTATAACAATTTTAATTAACTACCAACATTTATTCACAACGTAAAATAAAACAACAAATTATTGAGTCTACCCCACGTCTACCCTACATCATAGTTTTACATTTTTTAAATAAAATTAGAACGACACTGATAAACCGGAATTTAAGTCGGCCATATTTGATGCCCATCGCGGTGTACCTAAGATTTTTGATATGCTCCTTCCTTAGTCTTCTTATTCAAAGGTGAGAAGTAACAACTTTGACGTTTCGTTGAAACAGACGAATGCAACTAAACACACCCATAGCAACGCCATTCATTGCAGACATGATTTAACTTATCATTTATCTTTTTTTGGGAAATCTTAAACACATTTGCTTTTTCGAATTTCGATCACCTTTTTCATGCTAATACTCCACCGTGCACCGGTATGATTCGGAATTTTAAAATGTTATTTTTAATTATGTTTTAAACAATTACACGCATTTTCAGCTTGTTGTAAATTTATGTACCTTTACTCTTATTTTTTGGTCTAATTTGACCGGACTAACTCGCAAGAACGTGCGATAGTATATTGTCTTTGCGTGCGATAGTATAGAGTCTTTTGTAAAGTTTTATACCTCCATCTCTCGTTTTTACATCAAGCAATCATTGTTTTCTTACTTATTTAGTATGTGTTAAATAAGTAAGAAAACAATAAGAACGTAAGTTATAATTTCACTTTTTCAATGGGACACCCTGTAGATATATTTTAATTTTTTTTTATGCAACCGCTACCACACAAAATGCATAGTAGGCTTTTACTGTTAGACCGTGGCTACATAAAGTTTGTAGCGTAGCGTGTGGTAGCGTAGCGTAAGAGAGGAGTGCTTTCAGTGTGAGAAAATACGCTTCAATCCGCAATACGCGTCGGTGTATGTGGGGCCACTTCGGTATACTTTAATGCATTTAAACGCTTTGCGGTCCTTTCCGCTTTACGCTACGCTACGCTGTACGTACACTATGTAATTTGTGTGGTAGTAATTAGTGATTGCATCAATTAAACCAAAATAGTTCAAAAACGGTTCACGCAAATACGGTGCCAATGCACTGGGTGGTGTGAGAAAATACGCTTCAATTCGCAATATGCGTCGCTGTATGTGGGGCCACTTCGGTATACTTTAATGCATTTAAACGCTTTGCGATCCTTTCCCCTTTACGCTACGCTACGCTGTACGTACACTATGTAATTTGTGTGGTAGTAATTAGTGATTTCATCAATTAAACCAAAATAGTTCAAAAACGGTTCACGCAAATACGGTACCAATGCACCGGGTGCGTCTCAAAAGTGGCTCGCCCCTATAACTTCTTTATTTTTTCAGATAAAAAAAACGAGATTTGGTATGTTAGTATATGACATAAATTGGGATTTATTGACGTATTCAATTGTTTTCGGTCACTTCCGGTTTCACCGTTTCATAGAACTGACTATATAACTTTTGATTTTTAAATGGCACCCTTGGTTTTTTTAAATTTATTCGATAGATAATAACACTCCAAATCGAATGACATATCATATGTCAATTTTTAACATAGTCACTCAACAAATTCTATTTTAAATTTTAATCTAGAGTGCCATGGCTGTGTTAAAAACACTAATTTTTAATCAAGGAGCCTTGGAAAAATAGATCTGATCGTCTAATGTTTTTAGTGTCTTGTCCTGGCCGGTTAAAAGATGCCCAAATCGTATTTTTAATCATATCTCAATTTTTTCAAATGGAACGAGGGTGGCTTTTTAGCATATTTGGAAAAAGCATTTTTTTACGATTAATTTGATACCACACACTTGGTATTTTGAGTCAAATTGTCGTTATGAACCGGATGTTACAATTTCAAATAAACCATATGCCAAAATGTCAGAAGTTGACATATGGTATGTCATTCGATTCAGAGTGTCATTTTCTATCAAATAAAGTAAAAAAATACCGAGGGTGCCATTTAAAAATCAAAAGTTGTAGTCATTTCCGGTGAAACCAGAAGTGACCGATAACAATTGAATACGTCAATCAATCCCAATTTATGTCATATACTAACATACCAAATATTGTTGTTTTATCTGAAAAAATAAAAAAGTTATAGGGGTGAGTCACTTTTGAGACCCACCCGGTATATTTGAAATCTGACATTTTATTTAATTTAAAATATGCCTATAGGGTTTTCCATTAAAATAGGTAAAGTTATAAATTTTGCCTAACTTTCTCGCGTGATCGCGTCTTTGGTTTATTCTTATTTCACTTTCTAGTGGTTCAGATAAAACCGTACAAGTCCTACATTTAAAGTTTTTTACTACCCCCAATAAGTACAACTGCAGGCAGTGACGGATCTACGGGGGGGCTTCGGGCGCTTAAGCCCTCTCCTTGGGTTCAGCCAAGTAATACGATATTATTAATTTCTTTAGTCACAAACGACTCTGGAGTATACAGGGTGCTACAAATTCGAGGTACGAGCATTGGTATCTCGGTAACCGTAATAGATACGAACATGGTTAAATTGGGGCAAAGTTGCGCTTTGGGATGTTCACCAAGATGCCATCAAAAAAGTTTTAAAAATTTCAAGGATTGCTGAGTTTTTGGGAAAAAACGGATTTTTTTGAAAATCAATTTTATTTTTTTCTGTCGTTGCTTTTTAGAAAATCGAAAAACTAATTGCACATTCTCATTGCCACTTTATTAGAGCTATCTGATAGTATTTTTATATTTTCAAATTAGTTGATGATTTGTGAGATACAGAAGCCAACTTAATTTTTTTAAATACGGACCTGCATTTTTTATTTTAGGTTATGAAAGAACTCGGTCTCCTGAGTACAATGATATGCCACACTTAATATTTTTTTTGTTTCGGAAATTTGAGCACAATTTATTTAAACTAATTTCAAATCCGGCTCTGTTTTTTTAAATATATTTAATTTGTTCATCGTTACAATATTGCTAAGCTTTCAAACTTAATAATGACGTGGGGTAAAACATTGAATAGGGCAAATCAAATGCAATAAGATAATAAAAAATAATATAAAATGAATATGTGTGTGTGAGATCAATACATCTCAGCATTTACAATAATAAGAAATGCATTCGGAAGTATAAGAAGAAGATCTGTTCCAAGAACTAAAATTGAACGAAAAATAAATTTGTGCAATAGGGAGGGTTATAACAACCATTTTGAACTTGTAGAGCACTAGAAATTAGTTAGTAGAAGTTGTTTAATTTATAATAACGACGATTAATATTATGCAAATTATTAGATTGTACACTAAGATTTTAAATTCACAGTAAAAAAAGTTAAAAATAATATATTTAAATTGCTGACCTGGATATTATTTATTTGAATATTTCATTTGGCTCGATTTTCCTTATTTAATGTTAATTAGCGCTGATCAATATTGCTGCGATGAATATAAGCAGATTAAATAATTTAAAAAACCAGAGTCGGACTTGAAATTATTTTAAATAATAATTAAATAGTTTTGTTGTTGTTAAAGTATGCAAAACAAAAAAAAGTATAAGTGTGGCATATCATTGTACTTAGGAGACCGAGTTCTTTCAAAACTTGATATAAAAAATGCAGGTCCGTATTTAAAAAATATAAGTCGGCCTCTGTACCTCACAAATTATCAGCTAATTTGAAAATCTAAAAATACTACCAGATAGCCCTAATGAAGTGGCTATGAGAATGTGAGATTAGTTTTTTGATTTTCTAAAAAGTAACGACAGGAAAAAATAAAATTGGTTTTCAAAAAAATCCGTTTTTTCGAAAAAACTCAGCAATCCCTGAAATTTTTAAAAAAATTTTGATGGCATCTTGGTGAACATGTCAAGGCGCAATTTTGCCCCTATTTAACCATCTTCGTATCTATTACGGTTTCCGAGATACTAATGTTCGTACCTCGAATTTGTAGCACCCTGTATACTATGAGTAAAATTTTGTTTCTATCCCCCACCCCCCTTTCCCGAATCCTGGATCCGCCCCTGTCTGCAGGTGTGGCACTAAGTATCTCTATACAAAACCCTGCATATCTTGTGTGAGAAGTTATATTAGTTATTATTATGACTATTCCGTTTTATTTTTCAGATCTTTAATGCGGGTGTGTATAAAGGCATTTTTGGATTTGCAACTTGGTGGACCTGTTTCTCGTATTTTGCAACGACATCTGTTGGTCTCATTTATCAGTCCTATTTTTCAAGAAATTAAATTAAGTAACAAGTAATTCATACCATTTCTGTAAGAAGAGATTTTCAGCAAAACATGAAGAGATCTATGATTTAAGTTTTTAAGTTTATATAATACGGGTTGTTAAGTTTTTGAATATTTTTATTTAAGTAATTTTTAAATGTTTATAGGAAATCCTTTCAATATTTTGTGACAATAATTTGTTTTTGTATCAATATACAATAAATGTTAATATTTTGAAATATATTTTGATTAATTAATTCTCGGAATACAGATATTTTAAGTGATGTATAGGTACATTTAATAAAAATTGTAAACTAGTAAACATACAAATTTTATAGGTTTGTGTGTCATTTTCTTATTTTAATTGTTTAAAATGAAAATCATAGAAAATTTATTAATGGTGTGGTGTTGATAATAAAAGTACCTAAGTATTGTACAGCGTATGTACAGTATACAGGGTGTTTCATTTCATGTTTCCAGCCCCGGATCCCGGATAAATTTGAACTGGGATAAATTTGAAAGTTACTTAAAATCGCGAACGGACCAATACGAGCCTCTTAATAAATTTGCACTCAAGAACGTGAATTATACAAGGTGCGTCTCAAAAGTGGCTCACCCCTATATCATTTTTATTTTTTTCAGATAAAAAAACGAGATTTGGCATGTTAGTATATGACATAAATTAGGAATGACTGACGTATTCAATTGTTTTTGGTCACTTCCTGTTTCTTCGGAAATTACTACAACTTTTGATTTTTAAATGGCACCCTCGGTATTTTTATATACTTTATTTGATAGAAAATGGCATTCTGAACAGAATGCCATATCAAATGTCAACTTTTGACATTATCGCTTAATAAAAAATTGAATTTTAAATTTCAATCTAGACTGCCATGGACTATGTTAAAAATACTAATTTTTAATCAAGAAGCCTGGGAAAAATAGATTTGATTGTCTAATGTTTTTAGTGTCTTGTCCTGAGCGGTTAAAAGATACTCAAATCGTATTTTTAAACATCTCAATTTTTTCAAATGGAACGAGTGTAGCTCATTAGCATATCAGGAAAAAGCATTTTTTTACCAATAATTTGATACCACACACTTGGTATTTTGACTCAAATTGTCGTTTATGAACAACATGTTAAAATTTCAAATAAACCCATATATATATTAACTAACGATTTGATATGTATATGAATAAACCATATACGAAAATGTCAAAAGTTGCCATATGATATGTCCATGATGTGTCATTATATTTAGAGTGTCATTTTCTATCGAATAAAGTAAAAAAATACCGAGGGTGCCATTTAAAAATCAAAAGTTGTAGTCATTTCCGGTGAAACAGGAAGTGACCGAAAACAATTGAATAGGTCAATAAACGCCAATCAATCCTAATTTATGTCACACCTATAGGTGCCCATAGTAACATACGAAGATCCCGTTTTTTTAACTGAAAAAAATAAAAAAGTTATAGGGGTGAGCCACTTTTGAGACGCACCCGGTATGCTAGGCGCTTTGTAGAACAAGATTTTTATTTTCAATTATGTTATATCACAGCTTATTATATTATATTATGATTTTGGCGCTTCTTGAGACTGCTGCCCGGAGCGGGTGCTCCTTTCCCCCCGCCCCCTTTAGATTCGGGGCTCTTGTTTAATTGGTATAATAATTTAAATGAATTCGTTAATAAGGCCAGGACGTGGCCAGGACTGTGGCCAGGATCTGACTACCAGAGTTACGATCGTGTTATTTAAAATTTAATTCCTGTTTAGAATTACCATAATTAAAATATTTAAAAGATTATGTGTTAATAAAATTGAATAAGATGTTTTTCAAATAATTTCTTAAACTTAAAACTATTTACAAAATTTTTTTCAAATAATCATATGAATAATGATATCTTCGCTTATTAATACAACACGTGATATGAATTAGCACTTTTCTAATTCACAACCTCAATGTCATAAAATAGCTACAATCTAAGTTTTAGTCCTTTATCAATAATCTCAGACCATACCTAACAAATATCTTGAAAATCATGGTCATTCAGAAACAAATTAATTTAAATTTGGCGCCAAAATGTATAACCAACCAACTTCCGGGCTTAGAAAAATTTATTTTGATAATCACTTTTAAGTTCTATTATTATATTGCATTATATTTGTTACAGATGTGAATAGAGATACAATAAATGTCCAAAGAATATTTTTATTCTTCAAAAAGGCTATTAGGTATATTTGAAAAATATTTTTAGAAACTATTAAGTTGTTAATTTGATTTCCTGTAGTTTACCAAAATCATCTTTATCTATCGTGGCCAATCAGAGGCCTTTGACGTCAGTTGGCCAGAAATTATTATCTTTCCATTGGTGGAGCGATAGAATTTTCTGGAAGCTTTTCCTGGCCGTGGTATAAATTCCGCCATTACTAAAAATTCCCTTGATTTGATCCTTGTATGCAGTTGCTGTAGGTTACTTGTAATTTAACGTATTTTTTCTAATCTCATTTTATAATAAATTAGTGTATAAATCTATATTTAAGGTGAGTGTAGTTAAGAAATATGATGTACTATAATTTTTAAGGGCGGTATTATATTTTTTGAGGGGTTTCAAATGTCCACGTGCTGACAAATTTAATTTTCATTGTCTACGAATAAGAAACGATTTCTTTGTAATTATGAAATTTCTAGAGTTTCTTTTACACAAGAAGTAGTATTTCTTTGTTAAAATGCTTGCCGTTTATTAGTAAGGACTTTGTATGTTCCTGTAAATGCTGGGCGTCGCTTACAATATCAAGGTTACACAAATACGACAATAAACTTGTATTTATGGTTTTTATTTGTTTTTCTTAGAAAATGGCAAAAGCACCAGCAGTTGGTATTGATCTTGGAACAACTTATTCCTGTGTTGGAGTATTTCAACATGGAAAAGTTGAAATTATTGCTAATGACCAAGGAAACAGAACCACTCCATCATATGTAGCCTTCACAGATACGGAGCGTCTTATTGGAGACGCTGCCAAAAACCAAGTAGCTATGAATCCCAATAACACAATTTTTGGTGAGAATTAATTTTTAACTTGTTCTAATTCTTAATAATACAAATTATTTATTTCAATAGATGCTAAGCGTCTTATTGGTAGAAGATTTGATGATCCTGCTGTACAAGCTGATATGAAACATTGGCCATTTGAAGTAATCAATGAAGATACGAAACCAAAAATGAAAGTAGATTACAAAGGTGAAAGTAAAACATTCTTCCCTGAAGAAATCAGTTCTATGGTACTTACAAAAATGAAGGAAACAGCTGAAGCATACTTGGGAACTTCTGTTACAAACGCAGTTATAACTGTGCCAGCCTATTTTAATGATTCACAACGTCAGGCAACTAAAGATGCTGGAACTATTGCTGGCCTTCAAGTACTTAGAATTATTAATGAACCTACTGCAGCTGCTATCGCGTATGGTCTTGACAAAAAAGGTAATGAAGTAATATATGTATTTTTTTTATTTTAGATTATGAACTTGTTTAATTTGGTCTAATAAGAATTTCCAGTATTTTTAAAAATTTTGTTTTTTATTTCAGGACAAGGTGAAAGAAATGTTCTTATATTTGATCTGGGTGGTGGTACTTTTGATGTCTCCATCTTGACTATTGAGGATGGTATTTTTGAAGTAAAATCTACTGCTGGAGACACTCATTTGGGAGGTGAAGATTTTGATAACCGCATGGTTAATCATTTTGTCCAAGAATTTAAGCGTAAATACAAGAAAGATTTAACCACAAACAAAAGAGCACTCAGACGATTAAGAACCGCATGTGAAAGAGCGAAGAGAACTTTGTCATCTTCCACTCAAGCCAGCATTGAAATTGATTCCCTATTTGAGGGAATAGACTTCTACACTTCAATTACACGTGCCCGTTTTGAAGAACTCAATGCTGATTTATTCAGGTCTACGATGGAGCCAGTAGAAAAGGCCATACGTGATGCAAAAATGGATAAGTCCGCAGTACATGACATCGTACTGGTTGGAGGATCAACTCGTATTCCCAAGGTCCAAAAATTACTGCAGGATTTCTTTAATGGGAAAGAGCTTAACAAATCCATCAACCCTGATGAGGCTGTTGCCTATGGTGCTGCTGTTCAAGCTGCTATTTTACATGGTGACAAATCAGAAGAGGTATGTTTTTTATCACTTGTTTATAAATATTTGAATTGATTTTACTTTTGTTATACAGGTACAAGATCTGCTTCTTCTTGATGTTACTCCACTTTCATTGGGTATTGAAACTGCAGGTGGTGTTATGACAACCCTTATCAAAAGGAACACAACCATTCCTACTAAGCAAACACAAACATTTACAACCTATTCTGACAACCAACCTGGAGTACTTATTCAGGTAATATTTTATTCTGTATAATGTTGAAATTGTTAATTACTTCATATGATGATATTAAATTGTCATGCCAGACTGGAGTTTATGAGCTACTTCTGTGATTATTTTATATCTGAAGATTACTGATTTTCTATACTTTCACTATTATCTTAAATTATTATTGTTTAAATCTAGATTTGTTTTACAGGTTTATGAAGGCGAGCGTGCTATGACTCGTGATAACAATCTTTTGGGTAAATTTGAACTCACTGGAATTCCCCCAGCACCTCGAGGCGTTCCTCAAATCGAAGTAACATTCGATATCGACGCTAACGGTATTTTGAACGTAAGCGCCATTGAAAAGTCCACTAACAAGGAAAATAAAATTACAATTACAAACGACAAGGGACGTCTCAGCAAGGAGGATATTGAAAGAATGGTCAATGAGGCTGAGAAATACAGAAATGAAGATGAGAAACAGAGGAGCACAATTTCAGCCAAGAATGCTCTGGAATCTTACTGCTTTAACATCAAAAGTACAGCAGAAGATGACAAAATCAAGGACAAGATTAGCGACAGCGACAAACAAACTGTGTTGGAGAAATGCAATGAGGTCATTGCGTGGTTAGATGCCAATCAACTCGCCGACAAAGAAGAGTATGAACACAAACAGAAGGAATTGGAGAACATTTGCAACCCAATTATCACAAAATTGTATCAAGGAGCTGGCGGTGCCCCAGGTGGAATGCCTGGAGGATTCCCAGGCGGCGCGGGCGCTGCCCCTGGTGCAGGAGCTGGTGCTGGAGGTGCCGGACCAACCATTGAAGAGGTCGATTAAATGTAGCCATTCCATAATTAATTACCCTTGCTTTTGTTACAGTATTAAAATTTCCTCTTTTACATTTTGGCTTTACAGAGACAATTTCAGATCATAAACTCGTTTTGTATCTACAATTTTTACAGTTTGTTTGCAGATATGTTCAATTTTTTTATTAAAGGTCAGTTTCAAATTGAATATAAAAGTATTATTTATATACAACCCAAAAGCGTATAGGAATAAGTTAAATTTATTAAGGTTTAATGCCGTCTCAATTTTAATGCAGGATTGTCGTGCCTGTTTTTAAAGATCCTTCATGACATACCTTTGCTATTATGGGTGCGAACCAGGGTTCGGAAAACTACATTACATGTAGTTTATGTAACCTCTGTATGTAACTTTCAAATATCAAAGGTTTGAGGTGAGGTTATAAGTTGAAGCTTTAAAAACACATAATGTATTTAAGAAAACAGAAGAAATATGGCTTTAAATATAATATTTACATCATATTATCTGTATTACACCTCATACAAAGGAAAATTATTCATAAACAAGGATAATATCAATGCATAGTTTATTAACGTAGTTTTCATGTAGTTATGAACGGGAAAAGACGTAGTTTTTGAAGAAAAACTACACGTAGTTAATCAGGTAAATTACGTCTTAATTAACTACTTCCGAACCCTGGTGCGAACTTTAGTTTGACTTTAGCTCAAATATGCCGGCTACCGTAATTAAATTTTTTGCGCACGTTTATGATCATTTTTCCTATCTCTGAGGGTGCAGCCACTATCCTAAAAACGCCGTATCGGCGTAACGGCGTAACGACCTTGAATAGATTTCCAGTAATTCTATTTTCTGAAACATTCATCTGTCAGAAATTTTATCTGTCAAATTCATCTGTCAAAAATTTTAGCCAATAGAATTACTGGAAATCGATTCAAGGTCGTTACGCCGTTACGCCGATACGCCGTTTTTAGGATAGTGTGGCTGCACCCTGATGGAGTCAAACGTAATACATATACATCCGTGTGCTTCATGCTTAGCAGCTATCATTAGAATTTTTGGTCGCGTTCATGCTCATTCTTGCTTTCTCTATATCTTTGACCTCTAGGGGTTGGATAAAATGTATTATCGATATTTTTTCCTAAAATTGACATTCCTAGTTCATACCACAGATAACATACAGTCATACAGTAAAGATTTTATAGGTTATGTATTTATTTACTTTTTTTATTCAAAGTTTTGAAAGATTTCAAATTTCTCTAATTTTAATTTATGGGATGAAAATTTGGTATTTTAGGTATTTAAATTGGAAATTGATACCTCTTATTTATCTGTTATTTTGACGAGTTATAGATAATGTATTCTTCCAAGCATAAGCATCTAAATGGAGAACGTCTTAAAAAATCAAAAAAAGACAAGAAACTTTCAAGTTTAATAAATAACTCTGACTCAGATACTGGCGAAGAAAGTGAACATGAACTTTCATATTACATTGGAGACAGAGTTAAATTAATGAAGGAAGTTTTAAAGATCGTTAAGCCACGCAAGATATTTGCTATGGCACCAGATTGCATGAGAGTAAGTATAATACATGAGAGTAAGTATAATACATGAGACGATGGGCGCTTTCAGGGACGTTCAGCGGCTGAGTAAGCGGTTTCCCTAAACGGTTTCTTTTTATACACAAAAACAGTCAGCCGCTGATTTCCCTGTACACGCACATTGACTGTTGTCACCATAGAATAAGCATATATGTAGTATATAATGGCGCATTCTCACGACTCGTGTACTTGACAAACATTTGTAATTGGTATACAGGGTATACATGGTGCATCGGGCATCTATACAGAATTTCTAAGTTATTTATTACAGGAGCTACGCCGCATTCTCGCCAGACCCTATATGCCAATAAAAAATACTTGCCAAGTACATGAGTCGTCAGAGTCTGCATTAATAGGGCTAGGTATACGGGGTGTCAAAACAATAGTGTACCAAACTTCAATGGTTGATTCTGCAGAAAAAAAGTAAAAAAAAGTTCCTATGAACCCTGTGAAGTTTTTTGGGGAAGTTACAGCCTTAGAAAGAATATTAAATAAAAATTATATGTTTTGTTTACTTTTAAGAACAATTTTCTTTGAAATTTGGTATTCTTAAACACATTGTATGGCCAAAGCATGGCAATAGTGTAAAAATTCATAACTGTTCTGGAAGGGCACTGTCCATTAGAGTAGGTTTGTTTATCCTAATGGATACAGTAATTTCAACAAATTACATACAAAAAACAGCGACAAAAAAAACGGCGGCGTTCCAAACAATTACACATCACCACCCCAGTGGCGGCTCGTGACCGTGGGACTGTGTATGTGGGGTGATAAAATTTTAGTTGCGTCTATTTGCTTCTCCTTAAATTATTTTATAATCGAAATTATATCTATTATTAATACCTGCAATTTATTCATTAATTTATGATGGTCGAAAACACTGCAGTAAAAGTTGGTTAAATGAGATATTAAATGCCTTGGAAATAATTTTCTTATAGGATTCTTAAAATTTATCGGCAAGAGATAAATAAAAATACATGAGACAAATTTGCAAACCTTATTTCTAAATGTATAACAATCTTATCTAATATTTCATAAAATAAAATAAAATTCGCAAAGAAGTTTTTTGACTACACTGCTTTTATTAACATATCGAATTGAAATAGCACACTGAGACGTTTCTATACTATCTGTTGTATCCTAAAATTATATCCTGTGCTTGCACTGAATAAAAACTTGCCTAATTTCGGGATTTTCCCGAAAATCTCAGACGCCTGGCAAAGTAGAGATATGTAGGTTCTAATATGATATTAAACTAGTTTTATTCCAATAAATGTTTTAATATTTGTAGTAAGAAGTTCTATATATTTTTATATAAATGTAAAAGATAAAATGTACCTTTATATGGGTTTATCATACCATTTTCGTTTGTTACTGCCTGGTTAACAGTATTTTCAAATCGACCAACTATACGTTTCTGATATTTAATAAATAATTAAACTGTACTTAAAATGAATGGCGATTCGGAAAATGAAGATCGATTAAAAATTACTTCGCTGATTAGTTCAGTTTCTAACCGTGTTTTGAACGCCGCACAGTGGATCGAGGTATACGGAAATATGGACATTTGCTTTTGTTTTAGAAGTATTGGTCTGATTTGGATAATTTTGATCATTTTGCAAAGAAATGATCATTAAATATTACAATTAAATATTGTAAGTTATTACAATAAAATATTTTATTTTTATTTATATTTTTTATTAACGTTTTCTATATTAGAAAACGTAGGTATAAGTTTGCGATTGCTTAAAATTCGACCTTTCATGTGGAGAAAGATACGTTAAAATATTTTTCAATACCGTTTGATGGAGGGTTATCCCATGGTTTAAGAAGAATTTTTAAGAATATCAATTATAAACTTGTGTATAGTGCTAATTATAAATTACAACAATTATTAGATAATCCTAAAGATACACCGCCACTGGAAAGGTCGTGTATTTATGAATTTTCATGTAAAGATTGTAATCAGAAATATGTTGGGCAAACTAGAAGATCAATATTAACTAGATTTAAAGAACATCTAGCTCATATAAGATATGGTAGACCGGATAAATCTTGCATTTGCTGAACATATTGTTGATAAAAACCATTGTATAGATATTAATAATTTAAAATTAGATAAACAAGTCTCAAATTACAGGCAATTAGATGCATATGAGAGCGTCAAAATTAATAAGTGTAAAGATAGTATGAACAGAGACAATGGTTCAATTCCTTCCAATTCTCTGTTCCTTCTGCCCTAGTTTCGGTAATTAATTGATACGCTCGGTTGGTTTTGACTCCCTTGGCTAGTTTGTAAGTAGCTAGTATATAAACGCTCTATTTTGTAGATATTAGTTTAGTTTTAATCATCTCCTGATGATGCTAACATGGTTAGTGAAACGTGCGTCCAATGTAAAAGTAGAAGTGTTTTGGTGTATTATGGTGATTTAGTGTTTTATTTTGCTGTTCACCAAAGGTTCCAACCCCCAACTGTAGTCCTGTATAGGATAATGTAAATTTTCCTTCGAATATTTATTTTGTTGTCCTTGGTGTTTAGAAAAATACAGCCAAGTATTCAGTTTTTTCACTGCAGTTTTTAACCAAGGTTTTTAACCACATTGTGCATATAGCGTTTTTAACCAACGTTTTAGCAAAAAAGAAATAGAATGGTAACACCGCAGAATATTGGAAATAAAAATAGTATACTATATGCAGAATTTTATGCTGAATCCAAATCTGTACAGAAAAATGAGGGGTGTAATATAATAAAACTCAATAACTACTTAATCATAACTTTTTTTTGGGCCACCCTGTATACAACAAAATATTTTTAGAATATGCACAATTTTAAACCATGCAATATCTCTATAAAACTTTTTTTATATCTTTGTTAACAACGACGATATTGGTCATCCTGGTACTAATGGGCCACCCTGTATATTTTCCAGAGGGTCGTCTAGTGGCCGTAAATCTTTTTATATTTCTTTTAAGTAACCTTTGGCCTCAATAACAGATATAAAAAAGTTTTTTAAAAACTTTAAAGCACTTTTTTAAAACTCAAAAAATAAAAGAAATATATAATATAAACTATACCGGGAGCGTTTCAAAGGTGGCTCACCCCTATAATTTTTTATTTTTTTATACATTTTCCGAGACGTTCGTTTTAAACCAGCATATCTCCAATACAAAAAGAGATAATGTGGTGATTAAAAAAACAAAAATGCTCACAAAAGATGAGGCTACAATGTGATTTAATTTACCAATAGCCACTACCGCTGCTGCACCCTAAAGGGTGTTACAAAGTTCGGGCAAAAAACTTCGTCTTGTTGTTGTGCCCTGTATATGCTCAAAATAAATTCGGAATAAAAATTTCTGACGTACCATCCATTAAAAAGGAATTAATTTACAATTTAAAAAAAAATCATCAAATTCTAATGAGTGGTTCGCGAGAAATCCAACTTCGAAATTGGGTCTAGTTTTTCGTGGCCGGTTTTTTTTTGCCGGTGAGTTTATAAAAAACGTGATTTGGTATGTTGATATTAGACATAAATTAGGATTGATTGACGTATTCAATTGTTTTCTGTAACTTCCTGTTTCACCGGAAATTACTACAACTCTTGATTTTTAAATGGCATCCTCGGTCCTCGGTATTTTTTTTACCTTATTCGTTCTTTATTCGAATAATTTGATACCACACACTTGGTATTTCGAGTCAAAACAATTACAATTTTAAATAAACCATATGTGAAAATGTCATACGTCATTATATTCAGGATGCATCCACACTATCCTAGAAACCGCGTATCGGCGTAACGGCGTAACGACCTTTAATAGATTTCTAGTAATTCTATTGGCTGAAATTTTTGACAGATAAAATTTCTTTGACAGATTAGAATTTTTCAGCCAATAGAATTACTGGAAATCTATTCAAGGTCGTTACGCCGTTACGCCGTTTTTAGGATAGTGTGGATCAGGTGTGGATGCATCTTGAATATAATGACGTATGACATGTCAACTTTTGACATTTTCACATATGGTTTATTTAAAATTGTAATTGTTTTGACTCGAAATACCAAGTGTGTGGTATCAAATTATTCGTAAAAAAATGCTTTTTCCAAATATGCTAATGAGTCACCCTCGTTCTATTTCAAAAAATTGAGATATGATTAAAAGTGCGAATTGGGTATCTTTTAACGAGCCAGGACAAGACACGAAAAACATTAGACGATCAAATATACTTTTCCTCGGCTCCTTGATTTGAAAAATTTGAAAAATTATTGTTTTTAACACAGCCATGGTACTCTAGATTGAAATTTAAAATACGATTTTATGAATGTCAAAAGTTGACATATGCTATGTCATTATGAGTGTCATTTTCTATCGAATAAAGTAACAAAATACCGAAGGTGCCACTTAAAAATCAAAAGTTGTAGTCATTTTCGGTCAAACAGGAAGTGACCGAAAACAATTGAATACGTCAATCAATCCTAATTTATGTCATATACTAACATACCAGATCTCTTTTTTTTATCTGAAGAAATAAAAACGTTATAGGGGTGAGCCACTTTTGAGACGCACCCGGTATAATAATAAGATTTTTAAAATTATTATTATCCTTATTATTGAATACATGTTCGTATTAAGGTGGGTATACACATGCGAGCCGCGAGCGGTTCGCAAACCACTCGTGAACCGCTCGTTAGCAAATTGTTTTTGTACGAACCTTCAACGATCCAAGGGAAAGGGCGAACGCCGCAAACCAACCGAAAACATGCAGTCATTTTTGCGATGCGACGCGACGGTGCGAGTACGCGTTTAATTATATCTTCGCGAGAAGAGAATTATGCTCTGTTGGTGATGAGTTGTGCATTTTTAAGGATGGCTAGTTTAGACAAGAAAAGGAAGCAGCGACGTTGGTGGCACACTAACCTGTACAAAAAACGTACCAGTACGGAGCTTTTAATGGACATGAAATAACAAGAAATAAACTTTAAT